CCTGAATGCAATTTCTCTTCCTTTCCTTAACAAATCAACATCTCTAATTAAAAACTTCTCTCTGAATTACAGAGAGAGGGACATTGTCATTATTTACACTATTTACATGCAGGCAATAAGTCCTCATCTTTGCTGATGTTATCACAACGTTTCGGCCGGGTAACGTACAGGGAATTTCGAACTGAACTCTTTATTTAATCTACGAGGATAGTCTGTTCCTGTTCCATTACCCATGTCTAAAGATATTTCGTCTAATTCTTAATTTTTTAAGACTGTTCACTATTTTATCACCCTGCTTTCACTGAGTCGAAGTACACACGGCCTAGTCCAAGGATTGAACCCACAGTTAATGTATCACCAAATTCACGAAACAACGCTTTAATCTATTAAACTGTTGCTAAAGTGTTGGTTCGTGAATTTTGGGACTTAGTCAGTGAAACGAGACTAAGCATACACAGACACACACACACACACACACACACACGTGCGCACACGCATATATCAAATGTTTTGTGATACATGTATCACGATACATTTGTCAGACATATTTTCCGTATTCGCCAACGATGGTCTGTCTATGTTCCGATTTATCATGACATGAAAAAATAACTCAGCCATTTCCACCCTCTGTGCTCACTTTGATATTTAGCGGAGATCTGACATTTTATTGGTTAATCAAGACATACCCACAAGTCTATTTTTAATTCTGACCTTATGTTTACCTGCTTTTAACTTTCGGAAAAGCGATAAAACTTTCTTTTTAAATTTCCTTAAAAATAATTTAATCATCAGGTATTTACCATCGCCTGAAGAACTAAAATCAGAGTATTGAAACGCGAAACCTTTTGTGTAGCGATTTCAATATGTTTTTTATAATCTCTTATATATATATATATATATATATATATATATATATATATATATATATATATATATATACAGTAGCGGTCATAATATAAGGAACGGAAACAACAAAGACATAAATATGTGTATTACTTAAAAGGTAATGCATGAATCCAATAGAGAAAGGGCTCAGAAAAGAAACCCGAAAAACCAAGATCACCTATGGGAGTTATTGAAAGACGAATGGGAGGGAATTACTGCTGATTTTTGTAAGAAATTTATTAGATCATGTGGTCGATGATGCAGAGAAGTCATTGAAAATAAGGGGATGTTTACCAAATATTAAATTTTGTTGATATTTTATTCACAATCAAGTATTAACAAGATCGTTCCTTAACTTTTGTCCAGTAGCTTATTTCCTTTGTTCCATTTAATATTTATTTAAAAAAGAACTATTATGTAAATTTTTGTAACTTTGTATAATATTTATGCATTACACCCTAATCTTTATTTGTTAAAAATTTCATTGCTAATCATGCATTACTTTTTAAGTAATACACATATTTATGTCTTTGTTGTTTCCGTTCCTTATATTATGGCCGCTACTGTATATTATGAAATGGATTAAGTCCGGCAATTATTTAATATATTTTCTGTTTATACATTATTTTAATAGATACAATTTATTTAAGTAAATGGCTGTAGAGAAGCGTCTGTTTAGCTCAGTGGTATAGCACGTCAGATCAAATGACAATTCCGTATAAGATACAGGTTCGATTCCTGTCAGAGAATGCATATTTTCTATGAAATTTCTCGACCTTTCAGGCTGGTAAATGTAATTAATACTGTTTCATTTAAAAAAAAACCAAAAACATATACGTGCACACTTCGCCACACGAAGTAAGTCATCTTCTTTTCTACACCATGTAATTCGAAAAGAAAATAATGACATCATTAAGATGCTAAGGAATCGTTTTCAGACACTTTTCAAACTTGCTGCGCGCTGAGATCGTTCAAACTGGGGACAAAACAATATCAAAGTTTAAAAAATAGGTTTTAATACTAGCAATACATTTTGTAAAAAATTATTACCAGAAATAAATTTTAGAAGAAAAAAATATTAGCAGTAATATATTTTTGAAGGAAAAATACAGCCATCAATTGATTTTTGGAAAAAAAAAACAGCAATACATTTTTGAAAAAATTACCAGCATTAAAAACTTATTGGCATTAAATAATCCATTAAGACTATCAACACTTGGAATTATAAATGTAGCCTTGTGAAAAGGCAAATAGAAATAGCCAGTCCGTGTATTGTTTAATATATTGTAATGTCATTGTCATCTTTGATAATGGCTGATGTAAGGCGAAAGCTTAGATAGGATTAAAAAAATATGTATCAATATGGTGATTTTCTTTCGTCTTTTAATGATAATGTTATTAAGCTTATCAGACCATATGAAAAGAATTTACATAAATAGGCAAAACTTGTCTATATTACTTAATGAAACATGCATCAATATATATATATATATATATATATATATATATATATATATATATATATATTATATTATATTATATAGTTGGATTGATATTTGCAAATAGCGTGAAACCCAAGGTTACAAACTTACATCAATCCAACTAAATGTGTTAGCTCCATCACTGATAGTGAGCGCTTTCCAATAAGTACCGCGCGTAAATAATATAAATAAAAATTGCATTTATATATTTATTGCAGATTCTTCTCCCATGCACACATGTTTCTATGCTTGTGAATATTTTATCTGCAGTTGCAGAAATTCTTCCTTGGAATCATACATGTTACCAGGACTTAAAGCCTTATAAAACGTAAACGTAGCTGCCTCCTCATCTGTTCTCAGTTTTAATTATTCATGTAACTGAAAACGCAAGTTTCTAAAACATAGAGGGCATATATCTCTGGATACTAACCCCTCTAGCAAGCAACCGAAATTGTACTCCTGTCCGAACGTTTGATACGGTGACACCCATTTTAATTTTTTTTTTAACTTTACCATTATCAGTACAAAAGTACGTCAAGGACGTTAATTATAGAATTAAAGTTTACAGCACGACATGACAAATACAGAAATTGAAGTTTACAGCACGACATGACAAATACAGCTTAACTCTATTTTCTGTTATTCCTACAAATTGGTCTGCAACGCGTACAAAATAATTTCAATTTTTTTATTTCTACATTCAGCCTAACAAGATCCATCCTTGACCCATGTATTTTTTTATCTACCGTATATTTCCGTTATATATCGCGAATGCTGGGTAATTCCATATTATTTCCAGAGTCTGTCTATATTTCTGAGATGAGGTATTATGTACAGTATTTACATTAGTCGGACTATTGTCCTCATCTTTGTCGCCATATTTGTCACAACGTTGTACGCTCCGGCCTTCTTCAGGTGGTTGGAATTTCGAACTGAACCCTTTATTTCGATCACTGGGGTAGACTGCCATGTTTGAATGATGTCAGTTATCAGTTATCTCCTGTTAATTTTCCCTCTGAAAGTTCTCCACTGCCTTAACCTTCTTTGGGTCTGTCACAACGCCTTTATCCACTGTGCCATGTGTCCTTGAAGACATCTGTATCTGGGTATGAACTTCTGAGTATTATAAACCTAATGTTTTCAGCATCATTTTTACCAGTGCTCATATTGCAATTTTGCTGTTATCATTGTTATAAAAGGTTCAGTTCGAAATTCCAACCACCTAAAGAAGGCCGGAGCGTAAACGGCCGAAACGTTGTGACAAATATGGCGACGAAGATGAGGACAATAGTCCGACTAATGTAAATACTATCCTTATAATCCTCCTTATAATCCTAATCCACAGACGAAACATTCCTAGCCTCACGCGATTCTGTCGCTATAGCTATGGTGAATGTTCTAACGAGTTTAGGCAACAAATTTAATTCAATAGTAATTGCTTAGATAAGGTTCTAACCCCAAAGTTTGCTCAGTACTAAAAATAAGATCAAGGCTAAATATCGCCAAATATGGGCAGTGTAACAAGAACAGAATAATCATGGAGCTTCGTGCCCACAAAAACCGGAATCTCAAAAGAACGGGCTTCCACTTGAGTCCGCTATTTTTCAAACTCTCGTCACTCCACTGTTTATTGTTCCCTTGACTCTGCTATTATTTTAACTACCTTCACTCCTCAGTGGTGTTTGTTGTTTTAAAAAGCCATAATTAGAATTGTAATAAAACCTAAATATTTGATGAAAGTGGTTTGGTTCGTTATTTTTTTTTATACAGCATATCAATCTCAAAGGGTTATTTAATACCGACAAGATTTTTTTGTATTGCTGTTAAAATTTTTCCCCAAAATTAATTCCTGCTAATACTCGTTTCCTCAAAAGTGCATTGATGGTAATACTTTTTCTTTCAAAAATGTATTTCTGGTAATATTTTTTTCTTCAACAGTTTATTATTGGTAATATTTTTTCCTCAAAAATGTATTGCTAGTAATAATGTATTGCTTGTAATAATTTTTCCTTCAAAAACATTTATTGCTGGTATTAAAACCTATTTTTACACTTTTATAGTGTACTGACCCCAGTTTGGGGTTAGCTATTTGTCCACAGTTCGGACCCTAACAGGTGCTACCACCCCGGGTCAGGGTGGATCTGGGAACACCAGCTATTAAGAGGTGGTTCCACGCTCCTCAAAACCTCCTGATCGGAGGCCTTGCTGTTGGACGTAGTTTATCGTCTTACCCAGGACACCGGATGTAGTTTATCGTCTTACCCAGGACATCGGAAGTAGTTTATCGTCTTACCCAGGTGTGACAAAGCAACGGATTTTTCCTTAGGTCACTTATGTGCCATGCGTGATATACACTTAAGCGATCATGTATCTTTCGATACATGACTGACGAAGCAGATTTTTTTCCCGCAGTAGGTTGCCATTTCTTTCTGCGGTAGACCAGTTGCTATCCAAGACTATAGAACCCGGTCTGTCCTGCTATTTACCCATAGCTTGGGGGGTGAAGAAGAAGAGGTTTCATTGGCATCGATATTATTTTTACTAACTTCTCTTCTTAGCGATGTTTGTTGTTTTAAAAAGCGATAATTAGAAATTTTAAAAAAACCTAAACATATGATATTTAATTTATACATT